GAATTTATCCTATCCTATCCTATCCCAACCGGGCCGTACGCGACGATGATCTCGGGGTACCTTGGCACGACGGCGAGCACGAGCAGAGCAAACCAGTCATCGAGGATGCTGGTCGATGAGTCCTCCGGCGACGGTCCTTCTCGTTTCCTCGAGACACCATCACGCGCGTCCCTGATCCCGCTCCCCCGCTCGCCGACGCCCACACTCGACGACTTGCGACCCGAGCCGGTGGCGGACTGGTCGATCGATGTGGAGGAAGAAGAGGGCGGGCGAGAAGAGAGAGGCGTTTCGGAGGGGGAGGAGGACTTGTCGGTGACGGATGGAATGGCGGACTTGGGTGCAAAGCGCGAGAGCGAGAAGGACGGGGAGAAGAGAGATGAGGCGAAGAAAGGGGAGGGAGCACCGAAAGGGAGGGAGTCGAGGAGGCTGGCGCTGAGGGAGAGGAACCTGTCGCAGACCGAAGGAGCCGTCAGCGCGCGTTCTCTTCCTCCAGCAAGACGCCCTCTGCGTGTGCACAGCACCGTCTCATCGTCCGAGGACGAGCTCCTCCTCCGCCCCATCCCGCCGCCGCCTCCCTCGCAGATGAGGAGGACGACGAAGACGAGCCTCCGCTTATGAGCGAGCTCGTCGTCATCACGCACAACATCCACCGCAGCCCTGACGTCTGGGCGCAACTCGTCAACTCGCCTGCACTTCGGCGAGTCGACGTCCTCCTCCTCCAAGAAGTGCCCCGTTCCCTCAATCCCTTGCCACACAACTGGTCGCTCGTTCTCCCTCCACCCGTTACATACACGACGGACGAGCCGACTCACCCCAGATCCGCCGCGCTCGTCTCCCCCCGCTTCCCACCCTCCGCCTTCGCGCAACTCCCTATCGCGTCGAGAGATGTTGTCGGCGTCGACCTGCAAATTAACGAGCGCGAGTCAGTACGAATCGTCGGCGTCTACAATCCCTGCGCAGGCGGACGCTCGCCAGCCAACCGATCCGTCCGAGAAGTCCTCCCGCCCGTTTTTGCCTCATCGCTGCCGGAAACCACCCTCATCATCGCAGGCGACTTCAACCTTCACCATCCAGCCTGGGACTCGTCTGTACTTGAAGCCGATGATGAAGCGGAAGAAGCGCGACTCGCGTTCGAGGAGGCCGGACTTGTCCACCTGCACGAGGCGACAGAGGCGACTTGGTCGTCGTCGAGGTCAAGCTGAGTTCTCGACCTAGTGCTGGGGAACCTGCGAGCGGAGGAGAGGCTGGTCAGCTCAGGCGTTGACGAGGCGCTCAAGTACGGGTCCGACCACCGCCCGATACGCACCGTTCTTGCTGTCGAGCGAGCGGAACGCCCACCAGCTTATCCCCACCGCCTTTTCCGCAAAGCCGACCCATCAGCAATCCTCCGCTCCTTCTCGAAACTCGCCACTGCTTCCACAGCACCCGACGCCCTCCTCACACCTGCTGACGTCGACGCCGAGGCGGAGGTCCTGAACTCTCTCCTCCGCGAAACTGTTTCGGCCGCCATCCCGCTTGCCAAACCGTCGCGCTCACGCTTCGCGCACAGGTGGTGGAGCGCCAAAGTCGCGCCAGCCGTTGACGACGCAAGGCGAGCGCGAAGTTGTGCGTATCGACTGAAGGCGAGAGAGGGAGAGGGCAAAAAAGTGGAGCTGGCGGTGCGGAAGGCACGGATGGCGACGAATAAAGCGAAGGCGGTTATTCAGCGAGAGAAGCGGAGGGCGGAAGGGGCGGAAGTCGAAGAAGTTGATGAGGTGTCGTTGTGGAAGGTGGTGAAGGGGAGGATGGGGGCGGGAGAATCAGCAGCCGCGTCAACTCCGCCGCTCAGAAAGGATGACAGAACATACGCGACATCACCCATGGACAAGCTCGGCCTCCTTCAGCCCGTCCTGCTGCCGGTTGTCGAGCCGCGCATTGTCGAGGCGCGACCTGCGGACAAGGGGAATGGGAGGACCGTCAGCGGACTGCAAGTAGGTCACGAGTTTATTGTCCCCCCCGCTACGAGTCCAACAGACGACCGCCACGCGAGTGAGCACAAACGCACCTTTGCAGAACCGCCAGCAAGTCACGCCAATCGAGCCGACCTGGGCAATGCCAACGACGCTGGCGCGGTCGAGGACAAATGGCCGGATCTGCTGGAGCACGAGGTCGAGTCAGCACTCCATCTTGCACGCCCTTTTGCAGCTGCCGGTCCCGATGGAATCCCCAACTTCGTCCTCCAAGCTGCCTGGCCCGCACTCAAGGTCCGCCTCGTCCCGCTCCTTGCCGCCTCGCTCCGCCTGGGGCACCTCCCAACGAGCTGGCGCGACGCAATCGGAGTTGTCTTGAAGAAGCCGAAGAAGGACGACTATTCGCTCACCAAGTCGTACCGGCTCATCTGCTTCGAGCGATGCATCAGCAAGCTGTTTGAGTCGATTGTGGCAAGGCGGATCACGCACCTCGCGGAGTCGCTCAAGCTCCTCCCGCCCAACCACCTCGGCGCTCGCCCTGGTCGATCCGCCGAAGACGCCGTCGTCTGCTTCGTGGACGAAATTAGGCGTCAGTGGCGGAACGGAAACGTCGTACTGGGCATCGCGCTCGACGTCGCGAAAGCGTTCCCGTCGGTTTGGACGGATGTCCTTGTGCGAGAGATGGAGGAGAAGGGCTTACCTCGCTCGCTCCGGCGCTGGGTCGACTTGTTCATGTCGAACTGGACGTGCACACTGCGCTTGGAAGGCGTCAGCAGCGAACCGGTCAACTGGAGAAGCGGCTTACCACAAGGTTCACCGCTTAGCCCGGTCCTGTTCCTCCTCTACAACTCCGGCGCACTCGAGGCATGCGAGACGCCGACATCGACAGCGTTTGGTTGGGTGGACGACCTGAACATCCTCGCCTGGGGAAGGAACATTGAAGAGGCCGTCAGCGCTGCTCAGCGGATCGTCCCCGGCCTCGAAGAGTGGTCGGCGACGCACCAGAGCCTCTTCGAGCCGTTGAAGACCCTCATTACGCGCTTCTCGCCCGCTCGAGACCGATCACCCGACGACCCCAAGGTCGTGCTCTGCGGCGAGGAACTCGAGCTCTCGTCAGCGCTCGGGATGCTCGGCGTGACGATCGACGAGCGACTCACCTTCAAGCAACACATGGCGTCGTGTGCGTCAAAGGCGTCGAAAGCACTCGTGGGCGTCGGGCTGCTGGCGAAAAGTTGAGGCGGGTTGAGGGCGAAGTACGTGAGGCGGCTCGTCGAGGCGGTGGTGCTGCCGCGGCTGACGTGGTGCGCGGCTGCGTGGTACAAGCCGGGTACAACGGTCAGCAAGACGCTCAAGCAAGTGCAGAAGGCTGCTGCGTGCATCATCACAGGCGGATACCGGACGACCTCCCTTGCCGCCCTCGAAGTCGAGGCGAACCTCCTCCCGCTTGACCTGCGCCTGAGCCACCAAGTCTTCCGCTTCGCCCTCCGCCTTGCCTCGAGTCCTTCAGACTCAGCACTCTACAACCGGTTCCGGCTTGCCCGACCTGCCCTGCCTGCCAAGCACCCATCGCCGGCCCACCTCGCCCTTCACTCCTTCCCATCGCTCCTCCAGCCACGCACTCGAGTTGATCAGTCCAGTACTCACCGGTTGCGCCCTGGTCATCTCCCCCGCACTGCCAGCTCGTCGTCGCCGCGTCAAAGGAGGAGTCGGTCGCTCTGCACGGCCGAGAAGTCCGCGCGCTTGACGTTGCCGGCGGCCTGGCAGCGTATTCGGACGGCTCGTTGCTCGAGAGCCGAGCAGGCGCTTCGGCTGTGGTGCGTTTCGGCAAGGAAGGGGATGAGCTGTGGGGGAAGAAGGCAAGGGCGTTGGGTCAGTACCAGTCGGTGTACGCAGCGGAGCTCGAGGGCGCCCGCCTGGCACTCGACGGCATCCTCCAATCCCTCAGCAGCTCCACAGTATCCTCGACCACCCTCTTCATCAACAATCAGTCGGTCGTCCGCTTGCCTTTCGACCCCTCCCCCACCGCCGGACAGTCCGATCGACTCGCCCTGCGCGCGCTCGTTCTGGCGCTCGAGCACGACCACCCAGAAATCCGACTCACCCTGCAATGGCTCGCCGGCCATTTTGCGGTGCCGGGGAACGAGATGGCGGACGAAGAAGCGAAGAGGGCGGCGGGTGTTGGTGATGACAAGGTGGGGAAAAGGGAGGGACGGCTTGCGGGCGGGCGTGGCGGGCACAGGCGTGGTCCTAAGCTGTTCAGGCCGGACCAGAGCAGCAGCAGCTCGTCGTCAGCGGACAAGAGCGGGTGGGAGGAGGACGAGGAGGAGCGGGCGGCTCGCCTCGAGCGCGAAGTCGCTCGCCTCGGTCGACTCAACTCGTCCACGCATGCGGGCCCTGATGGGCTCGTCCTAGGAGGCACTCTGCTGCCAAAATCGTTCTCGTTTGTCGCTCAAGCAAGCTCACTGCGCGTCGCTGTTCGCAGAATGGACGCGTCAATGGTCCCTCTCCTCATCGCCAGGCGCCGGTCTTCGCGCTGTCGACTCTTGCCCGCCTGGACCACCCTTTGTCCGAGCCCTACATTCCCTCGACAGGGTCCACTCCACCATCCTCGCCCGGCTTCGGCTCGACTTCAACGACCTTGGCTCATCGAAGGCGCGGATGGGTCTGGGGACTGGACTTTGTGAATGCGGCATGGCGGTGGAGACCCGCCAACACTATCTCCTCGAGTGCTCGCTCTACGACGGCGAGCGACAACAGCTCCGGCGCGAAATTGGCGCAGCAAAACTCAAGATGGACAAGAGTCTTTCCCCTCGCTTCTTTTGCCCGCTGCTACTTTTTATCCTGGATTCCTACTGCTTCCCGCAGTTGTATGCCCCTCTCCCTCCTGCAGCTCACGTAGCGCCTGGGGGCTCGCCCTCGTAGGTGGCCCCAAGTCAACATGGGTCTTTCCAGGCCTGAGCGACTTTAAACTTGGAATTCATCCTATCTTATCCTATCCTACTCGCGCAAACTAACGAACCTCGTGCGTCGGCCCAGACTCTCCGGTTCGTCCAGAGCCTCCCGAAACGCGAGCGCGTTCCGTTCGCGCAAAAGTTCCGCACGCAGACCCCCAGGCGCTCGACCTCCTCAAAAGGATGCTCGTGTTTGACCCACGCAAGAGGATCGATGCGGCGCAGGTGCTCGCGCATGAGTACTTGGCACCGTACCATGGTACGTTGCGTCTGAGTCTGAGCTGGTCAAGAGCTTCTGAGAGGCTGACAAGGCGTTATGCTGTAGACCCCGAGCCGGTTGCGCCTGAACCGTTTGACTGGTTGTTCAACGACACCGACTTGCCCGTCGACACCTGGAAGGGTGCGTCTTGCTCTCTACTCACCGTCCTTCTCGCCTCTTTAGCGACAGCTGCTGATGGATCGGACTTGTCCCCGCGCACAGTCATGATGTACAGCGAGATCCTCGACTTCCACCACATTGACTCGGAGGAGACATCTGGACCCGTCGCCGCGCATACCGCCTAAAGACCCTCTGCCTTTCTCCTCTCTCACCTCCCGTCCGACTCTGGCTCGCCTCGCACGTGCTCTCCTGACTTGTAGATACCTGAGTTCCCTCCCTTCCCTTCCCTCGTCCTCTCGTCCTCTCGTCGCGTCTGTAAGATGAAAAGAAAGTCCTTTTACACGGTCCAACTTGCATTTGCAGCTTGCTCGTTATGGGAGGCGTCTTGCTGGAGGGATCGTGAGGAGATGGCAATGCAGGTAATAAGGTCATTGCTGGTCGTACAACACTGTGTGAGAAGGAGGAGCAAGTCTAGCCACTACTACGTTCTTTTGAGTCATTCCCCCTGTCCATCTCCTGCCTCTAGACGCTCGCCGTCGACGTCCCCGAAGGCGTCTCGTCCCTCTTCCTCGCATCCATCTTGACCGCCACATGCCCTCTCTCCTCTCCCTCCTCCTCCTCCCCAACGCGGGATATAGTCCCCAACGCCCGTGTGGCACCCGGCCTCCCATAACTCTCACTCTCCAACTCATCGCTCGTCAATCCCGATACACTCACTTGGCGTCCATCGACCTGCCGGCCGTGCAGGCCGATCACATTTGCGAGGCGCGAGGAGGAGGAGAGGAGGTGGCGGATCGAGTTGAGGGTGAGGGAAGTGAGCGAGCAGTCGACGCCTGTTAGGTACATCCAGGGGACTAGAGGGGCGGGAGTTAGTGGTGGAGCGAAAGGGAGGGAAGGGAGGGAGGACAAACCAAGGTAGAAGGAGACTTCCATTGTGCGCCAGGAAGAGTAGACGGATGAGGGAGAGATTGCGAGAGAGAGAGAGAGTTCCTGATTTCAAGTCATATCGGGCTAAGCCCATGTAGAGATTGCGAGCCAGAGCGCTAGCGCGAGGAAGACGGTTGCCATAATGACGATGGCGGCGAGGAACTGCGCAGACGAAGGGCGAGTCAGGTCGAGGCGAGAGGAAGCAGGAAAGCATCGCTAACGCACGACAATCATGTCCCACTCGACCTTCTGCAGCGCCAGCAACTGCTTCGCCTGCTGCCTCGTCGCCGCACCCGCCTGCGTCGTATTCTCCGCCGCCTCCTTCAGTTGACCAACCGAGATGTGATTCCGCCCTCTCGAAGCGGTGGTGTCGGATGAGTCGTCCTTCTCCTTCGTCTGGCCGGCGAAGAAGACGTGGCGGAGAAGATTTGTCTTGGGCGGTGTTTGGTCACCGTTGACGCGCGGGGAGAGGGGATGAGGCGGGTCGGAGAGCAAGGCAGTGGAGGGAGGACCGAGGGCGGGCGAAGCGAGAGGAGTCCCGATGGACGAGCCGGCACTTGTTGTACTAGACGCGTGAGCAGGGTGACTGCTAGTACGGATCTGCAAGGAGAGGTGGCTGTTGAACCTGTTTGCGGAGAAGGGTCAGCGATTAGTGCGACAAGACGGACGGTTCGAAGACGTACTTGACCTGCCGCTGCAGCGTGAAAAGTAAGCCGAGTCCGCCAAGGTTGACGCCGATGATGATGAGCATTGTGAAGACGTAGAGAGCGTGGACGGCCTGGAGCATGCTGTTTCCGGTCCGAACAAGTCAGCCTCAGATCGACCGCCACCGCTGTCGAGACAGGGATGCTTTGGACGAAGAACTGTAGCTTGTCGGCAACCCTGTTAAACTGAGCGGCAATTGCAGCCTTAGCCGCTCGTGCCGAGTTGCTCGGTCGCGCTTGATCAAGCGATGTGAGGGTTGTCCGCAAGACCAGGCCCGCGTCCCACGTCTTCCTCCATGCGAACGCGGTGTAGACGTCGAGGACGATGACGGGGATGAGGACGAGGAAGCCGGCGATGTACAGGCCGTTGGCGAGTTTCGGCGAGAGGATGTGTGTCTTTGTCGCCTTTTGCGAGGATAGAATCGCCGCCTGGAGATTCGACCACGACGAAATCCAGGCGTGTACAATGAGGGGGATCCTGCGACACTTGATGCTGTCAGGTCGCTGTTTGCTCAATGGCGAGTCGCGGAACGCACCAGACAAGCGAACGCCAGAAGTATGTGCGGGATTGGAATCGCTGTAGCAGCGCCACGCGACGAAAGTTGTTATTGTAGCAGAGTAGGACGGCGCAGCTCGCGAGGGAGAAGAAGGCGAAGAGGGCGTGTTGGCTGTTGATGCAAGCGAAGGTCAGCTTCTGCCTCGACATCCGTCTCCTGTGATACGCCGGTGCCCCCTTCACTCACTTTCCGACGATGTGCAGCCCGTTTGACTGGCTGACGAGACGCCAAAGCCAGAAACGCTTCTCCCACCGTCAGTACTCAACCGCCATCAAGCACAGGTAGACGATCGCCATGACGCTACCACTGCAGTGACAACCTCAAGTCAGTAGGCGTCAACTGAAACAACAAGGAGCGAAACGCGAACTCACTAGCCCATCAGCGCCCATAGGACGTACAGCCGAGCGTCGAAACCTGGCGTCGGCATCGGATTGAAGAGGTAGTGTAGGTAGCGCTCGATGTAGAGGTACGGATCGACGCCTTCCGGCACCGGCGGAAGCTGCAGGCGAACCATGGTGTCGTCCTAGGCGCGCGAAAGGGTGGCGGAGGGGAGTTGAGCGAGCCGCAACCGCCCTTGCTGTGATCCGCTGATGTTGTGGGATTGTGTGCGCGTGCATGCCGGTTGTTTAGAGTCTAGCTGACTGCTGCCAAATTTCAGAGCAGGCTCGCAGCACTGGATGCAGACAGGAGCACAACAAAGCCAGGCTGGTTCACACCTGGCAGTGTCAGACACCATGCACCCTTCAGGACTGACCCCACTTGGAGGTCAACCTTGCCTTCTTGAGACTGCGCTGCAGAAAGTTTGCCAACCACATGGCAACTTTTTGTCTTTCCTGACAATGTCTAGCTCAGTCATGTCCTTTTTCCTTGACCACCTCACCCTTGTATTCCACCTGGCACACAGTTGTAGTCCAGCGGCAGACAGAGCCAGGTGTGGACGTGCACAACCTCAAGGAATGGTGGTCACAAGGAAGCAAGGAGTCAGGTGACCAGTATCTGCATAGTCTGGTCCAGTAAGTTGCAAAACAGCATGACGTGTGTGCACACTGCAGTGCCGGGCCTCATGAAAAAGGAGACAAGCTGAAAGGGAGTGAAGGAAAGAGGTGCAAGTGGGGCAGGGAACAAAGGAGTTGCCAGCTCCCTCTTGAAGACCTGCTTCTGCCTCCTGCACCTTGTGCAGCCACAATTCACAAACTTGTATGGCAGCCGAACCAATTCTCCAAAGCTTGCACAAGACATCCCTGCCTTTGCTCTGGTATCTATTGCCTACTTGGGTCCTTCCCCTCCAACACAAACCACTCTTGGTCAACCCAAACTGCTCCAGCTTGCCAATTAGTGCAGCTGGTTAAGTCAATGATTCAGCTCCCAGGTTGATTGCCTCGTCTCTTGCTTTGCTGGCAGTGTTCCGCATCTCAAGCTACTCTTCTGCGGCTGACCTGTGACCCAACAGAAATTCCTCTCCCGCTTACTTTTTCTCCTCCAGCACCCCAGGTATAGGACCT